CAGAACTTACTTAACACCTACAAACATGTCCAGCGGTCAGGAGGAGGAGGAGACGTCACTGCTGCTGCTTTTATAGCTACCGGAAATTTGCGAGTTTTAACTCTCAGTGACACTTAGTGATATAAGTAAATGGCTCGACTCATGAGGAAAAGCAATACACACTTTATTTAATTTTTAGAAATCCAACGAAAGTCACTTAACACTTAACAGCATGAGGAGGACCGTTAAAACTCCTAAGCAGTGTTGCCAACTCCTCAGTAAGGAAAATCGCTATTGGTTGTCCTAAAAGTCGCTAGAAGTCGCTAAATGACGTAATCACCTAATTTGCATAATTGGTCATGCTAATGTAATTGTAACCTACGCTGCTGGAGAGAGAAATAACATCGTGGACGAGACATAAAGTGAGCAAAAAACGTCCTAAATGCATTTAGAATTTATTTAGAACTACAAATTAAATTTCTTTTAGCAATTATTGTTTTTTGTAATGTCTTTCACGTCTTTTTTAGCGACCTTTTTTTTTTTAGAAAAAAAGTCGCTAGGGGGTCTGAAAACTCGCTAAATATAGCGACAAAGTCGCTAAGATGGCAACACTGCTCCTAAGTTCACGTTTCGTCTTCAATTATTTGTTTACGTAACGGACCTGAAGGCAGCACGGTACTACCACACAGGCCTGTGAGGTGACGTATGTGTCACGTGTGGGGTAACAAATAATGATTTCACCTAAGTAGTCTTTGCGGCCACTTTTTTTTACTATGTCCATTAGTTCATTATTAAATGAGTCGGCATCTAGAAGCCAGTTGATGCTGTTAATGTCACGTTTAACAAAACAGCCACCACATCCAACTAAACAGTCCTGGGTGGATTGTTTATGAGTCTGTGCCAAGACTGACACAGTGGCAATGTGTAACAAGACATGCAGGGTTGTATTTGGAAACAAGGTTATTGAACATTTCTGGGTGAATTGGACAATACATGCAGTTTGGGGCTACATGTCAGCCAGTGGTCTTCTGGATCTTGTCAAAATTGTTGGCATTTTGAGCATCGACCATGCAGTACTATCTGGAAAGCATCTGATTGGCAGTAGTTTAATTTGTTCCTTATGAAAATGGTCCCAAACACACTGCCAATGCACTAAAAGCATACATGGATAGAAAACCATACAACTGAAGACTATCAGGAATGGGTTGGCCACCCTGGATCCAGGACCTCACATTATTGAAGCAGTCTATGATCATCTGGACAGAAAGTGGAACAAAATGTAGCTAACATCTAAACAAGAGCTCTGAATGTCCTGCAAGAAGCCTGGAGAACTATTCCTGAGGAAATTACCGGAAAGCTTGTCTAAGAGAGTTCAGGCTATGATGAAGAATAAACGTGGTCATAGACTTTTAAGCTCATTAAATTTGTACAAATGCAGTTTTTGCCTTACATTCTGTATTTCTTTGTATGTTTGCAGATGTTCAACTAAACCTGTGCACCTATTTTACATTTTCCTAGGAAAATATAAAGAAATCAGGGCTGTAATACTTTAATTCTGTAAATTTTAGTAAATGAGTGTTTATTTACTGCTGTTATTATTTGGAAAAATAACATTATTTTCTATATTTTATATTAAATCAAGGTAGGAAACCACAGAGGAATATGGGATGCCTTGCCAGAGCTTTTCTTATCCCTATTGAATTTGCAATCATATGACCATAGGGATATTTGAAGACATTAGATATCTGACCGCCTTTCTGAGAAACCTGCCAAGAAAGCACTTTCATCAACACGTTGCCTTCAGATCAGATTTTTATTGCTTTAAAAGATTTTTACTGTTACAGTAAACTTTGTGTTACATCACTCTTAAATCTCAACCCCACTGATTTTCATGGATTTATTTCCAACTATTTCTTTCATAATAAACCCATAGACTGAGGTGTCTTAAAATGGATTACATTTAATCAGGAATACATAACCAGATTATCAAAAGAAAGATGTGCAAATATATTTGCATTTTTTCATTCCTTCATTGCATTTTGAATAAATTCTGCCAATTCAAATTTCAAAATACAAAAAGTTTGTGTAGAACTAAATATGCTAAATGACTTCATTAAAAATGTAGTAACTTTTTTTCCCCCAGATTTAAATAAATTCCAAATTTGCAATATTTTTTATTTAGCAACCAAACCCCTTTGTACAACGGTAAGGTAGTCTGAGCTGTATGCTTCCATGGAAACAGCTTTCAGATGAAATGTGGACGTGGATTAGATCAAATCATCAGGTAAATAAACTTGCAGCCTTTGTTCACCCAAATATGGCTGTGTTTCAAGTTTCCAACATAGCAATTCTTGCTAAGTAGCAGTGGGAGAGTGGGAAAGATGGCACCAGAAATAAGTCAAAGTGATAAAAGTCGTAATGTTATTCTAACCAAAGAGGGGCTTTCTCCACTTTAAATCATGGCTACACTGAATGTTTCTAAGGGGACAGTGCATAGAGCTGAAAAACAAATCAAATGTTAGGACACCATCACAACATCACTATATCAAGCTTCGTTCCCAGAGAAAGAAAAGAAACTTCATCACAGATGTAATTTTATAAAATAAAGAACAGAAAGTTCCAACCATAAAAGCTCCTGTCAAAAAAGATCTATAGAAGTCCTAAAGCATTAGTGTCAATACACAAGGACTGGAAGAAGGCCAAGCACTTTAGAGAAACCAACATTTCACAGTGGATGATGAAAAAGCGTCATACTGGTTATGTGGATATGCAAACAGTACTCTCACTGATATAAACTACACAAAACACCTCAAGTAATGAAAATTAAAACTATTCTGAGCTATGTATTCCCTCGTGATAAATGATCTATCTCATAGATCATGCCAGTTGTTTCACACTGCATTAACTGGACCTAAACTGAGAAGAGTATGTGCTTGAAAATACAAAACAATTAAAATATTACTGGTGTATACTGGTTTGGAAGCTGCAAAGTGATTCACTAAGTGAATAGATTAGCCTTCAAGAAGATGGTATCGGGTAGCATCTGCTCTTTAAGTTCTCTGCAAGATGCAGTGGAAGTGCTGCTGGACTAAAATTGATGGCAGTGGGAAGTACGAGGCGATGTCTTAATGGCACTCTAATATTTTACATTATAGTAACAGCTCACGCGAACTGCACTATCAGTCTGTGCAGCAGGAAACAGAGGCAGTATTTGTAATACTTGTTAGTTGATGTCTGCAACAGCCACAAAAGCTAACAGTGTTCAAAACAACTTAAAAGCTTTCCTGCAAGATAACAGAAGTATAGCACAAAGAGTCTCTAATTCCTAAAGTGAAATTCAGTGGTGGAAGTTACAGAACTTTTAAATACTTTCACTAATCTGTGTTTTACTTAATTGCTCCTCAAATTCATGTTTTTGTTCTTGGAGGTGGTGGTGGTGGTCAGAGGGCCCGGTGGCGCCAAGCTCTGACCACTGACGCCTCTGTCAGTGCGCCCCAGGGCAGCTGTGGCTACAATGTAGCTTGCCATCACCAGTGTGTGAATGTGTGTGTGAATGGGTGAATGACTGAATGTAGTGTAAAGCGCTTTGGGGTCCTTAGGGACTGAGTAAAGCGCTATACACATGCAGGCCATTTACCATTTGGATCCCACTTGTTATGACCTCAGCTCACTGGGAGGAGGGGAGGAGGAGTGACTTTAAATAACAGAATGAAAAGGGTTAGAGTTAAGTACTTTATTTGGGGTGTTTGTAGGGAGGTGGTGGAGGCGGTGCAGTGAAGTGGAATAAAACGGTAAACAACAAAGAGGCATGGGTCAGACTTTTTTATTTTAAATCACAGCTGCCCTGATTAACAGCACGTTACCAGGCACCAGACCAATGAAACTGGCAGCAGGTATAATTCATAAGGAGCAGACAGGTGAGGAAGGCAGGATGATGGGCATATGCAAGCACCAGTCAGGAGCATGGGCCTGCTCATATTAGTTAGCATAAAAATACTGTTAAATTATTCAAGGGCAACAGAGTAAAGCAACCGTGGGCTGTTACACGGCTGCATGACTCAGAGTTCCTCAGTTCACCCTGTGCCTGAAAAGAGCTGTTTTAACTCCTCTCACTTTAAGTCTACCGTCCCTTTTAGCCTACGGCATGAATAGCAATTTGGTTCCTGATCTGATGTCCTACAAAGAACCTAAAAAAATAAATAAATAAAAGAATCAATATGAGACTGCACTTTTAAAATGAATCTCAAGGCAAATGATGAAACTGCTGCTGCTGTTCAGCTTGATTTTAGTGCAACAAGGTTAATTTAAACGTTCAACATTTTCTTATCAGTTGTGTGTGTGTGTGTGTGTGTGTGTGTGTGGGGTGGGGGGGTGGCTACAATGGATTTGATGTATTTGTACTGTACTGTTGCCTCAGTTTTGTTGCTATACTTACATTTCAGATGGAAATAAAGTAGAGTCATAAAGTAAAGTTTTTGCATCTTTAAGGATTTTTTTTTTTTGCATACTGAGCACCTTTCATTCAATACTTTATGGAGTTAAAAAAAACAAAAAACTTTACTGCCAGTCCTTATATTATGTTACTTACATACTTACCATGCATTCATTAGAAATGATATGTTAAAACATATCTCATTTTTGATCAATTAAATTTGGCATATTTGCTCTTTCTTGAACAGTTTAATGTTGTTGCTGTAAACACACTTTGTTTAAATGTGCTCTGCAATGTAACAAACATCCAACAAAAGATTGATCAAATCAGTTGAGTAAAGAAAAAAAAAAAATAAAACTTGACTGTTTGAGACCGATACTCTGGGAGTTTACTGATGAGTTTTAATAAAAGAATTTTACTTTTCAGCTGTATTGAAAGTCAAATAAATGCATACATTTTTAATAAGCCTTAATGTTAGTACTATTGTCATCAATATTAGCAGCCAGCTGCAGTTTCCATGCATTACAAACGTCTGCTGGGGTTTCCTGAGAAGTCCACGCCCCTGTGGCTCACAGTACACATGCCTGCATGCTCTGGCAGAGGATCTAGGAAGGTTGGCGGTCAGAGGCAGGAGAAAAGGCGGCCACGCACATCATGATCGGAGACTTCATCGCTTGAAACCCGACAACTCAGATCTTCGAGTCCAGCTCCCATCTCAGAGAAGGTAAATATTTACCTTTAACATTGTCAGTGATGTTGAACCGACGCGATAGACGGATTTTCACTGTCCAAACGCGCAGCGGAGCTGCAATAACGCAGTTATATTCGGCGGAGCGCCTCTCAAACTACAAGTTATCCCGATTACCGTTACCTTACGTCCTGGTTATATAAATAGGGTCTGAATATGCTACAGAGTAATCTGCGTACAGGAAAGTGGACAGCGCCGCTGTAAGAGAGCACCACTGAATCTCCACTAAAAACGTTTTAAGGTCGAACTGTAGCTCCCAACAGGATGAGTTATGGATGATTTGTGCGACTGCAAGATGAATCACAGTTCTTCCTACTGTGTGAGCACTTTTCTCGGCGCTTCCGTTTTACATTAAAGTCTAAAGACTTGAAAGTAGCTCCTTAGAAAAGAGAAATCCAGTCCCGCAGTGCGGGCGGGTTCCCCCCCCCCCCCCCCATGTCCTTAATGAGACAGGACTTTTTGTATGCCTGGGGCTGGGTGTGTTCCAAACATGTCTGTTTTTGGATATCTGGGATTCAGACAAGTTTCCTGTCAGGAAGGGACAAGGATATGGCCTGGTCAGTTCAATTCAATGGCTGACTCATCCAGTACCAAGACAGTATTTTTCCTTTACCTAACACAGTGTAGGCTTCACAGAAGCCCTTTCAACCCTCCCCCACCCCATAAAAGTATGGAGGCCCTCAGGGTCTAGAAAAAAAACCCCAGAACACCATAAAATTCAGTGCTTATGTAAAATAATTTATTAAGAAATTCGTTACATCAAATCACATGTTTTCAAATGATCATCAAATGACTTGTTTTCAGCTGAGTTGAATTTACTTAGCCTCGTAAATACATTTGTTTAGGCCAAACTTTTTCTTTTAGGACAGCAGTGAAATTCATCCCTGAAATTCATATTATAAAATTAGGGATGTGCTGCTGGTTTTACACACATTCTGTTTGTTGTTTGCGGGGAATGATGTCATTGTATTTCTGCACACACACATGCAGGTCCATCAGGGGTCTGTTCTTGGTCGATAACTCTTTAACTTTTACATACTCCCAGTTGGTGCTTTCATAAAGAATCCTAATATATTATATCATACTTACACAGATGATACACAGTTGTACATGGTTTACTTTGATGATCTAACCTCTCTTCACAAATTAATGAGCTGAACTGATGACATTAATTGTTGGACGTCTCGAAACTTTTTAGAACTGAACACAGACCAGACGGTAATATTTGTTGGTGGTCCAAAAAAGTCAGACAGAAAATGTGTTCATATTTATCATCCCTTGCTCTGAAATACAGTGAGCAAGTCAGGAATCTGTTATGGTGAATGGTCTTAGTTTTGACAGTCACTAGAACTGCTTTCTATCACTTTAAAAATATAGATCAAAAGTCAGAAATTTCTTATCTCAAACTGACTCTGAGAAACTTGTCCGTGCATTCGTATCAAGCACATTAGACTATTCTAACACTCTGTTTACTGGATTGTTTAGTATCCCGGAACCAGAGACCTTACACGTAAACAGAAATTTAATAAGTTGCAGTCTTCAAAGATGGCAATAAAACAGCAATAAGATGGAATCAGTCTGCTACCAGATTGCAGTCCAGCCAGAACACCATGGATCTGAAACAGGAATTCTAAAACTCCTCCACAAATAGCGACATAGTATAAATGACAGTTTCATATTACGCTGACTCTAGAAGCTACTTACATGCAGTACTTGAGTAAATTTAGCATCTATTAAATTGTCAACATCATAAACTTTTTTATGAGTAGAAATGTGGCCAAACCAGAGTTAAAAATGTAGCTGCTAGAATTCTTTAAAGACTAATAAAAAAAAATGCAATAAACAAAATTCCATTGAGATGGATATCTCAAAACGCTGAAACTTACACTTAATTGCATTGTTATTTGGAGCTAAGTGAGAAAAAAATAATTTTTGCTGTGTGACCTAACCGACCCTTTAAAGTCTGCCACGGTTTCGTATAAACATCTCCCGAAGAGCTTCTCTCACTCCTTCCTGTTGTTATGATTGTGAAATGGAAGAATCGATAAAGACACTCCAGGTGAAAAAACTTAATTGAACTATGAAAAACATGACGTCTCTAAAAGCTTCAGTCTTTTAGCAACATGTTCAAGAATACCTTACGGCTAAACTTATTAATAATGCAAGACAAGGTTTTATTGACCGTAGCTATTTACCGCTGTGGAGCTGTATATGATCAAATGTTGCACTTTATAATCTGACGACTATTAAGATCGTTCAGTCATTTTCCGGTTGTAGAGACATGCTATGTACTATATAGTTCACACTGGAATGTTTTACTACAAAAATCCGTGTGGAGCGTGTTTGTCACACGCCTCTTCAGTTTAAATGACAGTGTAGCCAAGCTACTGCCAGACAGACACTGGAAACAGGATCCTGCAGCTGCAGTACTTTAAAGAAGGTGATCACATAATGACAGTGTGAGGGACTCTGCTCTTTTTCATGCTACTGGTTTTAACAAAATTAATCTTTAAATAGCCTGTAAAGAGATTAATAGCTCCAACAACTTGCTGTTGTGTATACAAGCTAAGTGCTGTGATTGGTTATGATCAGTTTTGTTAGTCATCGTGTTGCCAGGTGTGAACCGACTCTGCAAAACCAGTGGGCTTTTGGGCTGTGAAATTCATGTCTAAACACTTGTCAAAATGAGTAATTTTTATAGTCCAATGTATAGAATGGCTCTTAATAAATTACATTTGAGATGGTCATTTGTACAATGTCAGATTTCCACTTGAGATGAGGTTTGGGCAAAGAGAGAAAGTTCAGGGCTCAAAACTAGTCTATCTGGATTGTGGGAAGTAGGAAAATACAGAGTTTTGATTGTGAAATTCTGGACCAATACCATACCAGTATGGCCAATAGTTAACACTGGAAGCACAAAAGAAACTCATCTATATCCAGATACTTTTATTTAGTGGTTAATCTTCTTTTAGTGAATGCAGATTAATTAAATTTGTAATTTTACTTCATCATTTTTGTATTTAGCTAATGTGAAGTGTTAACATTGTTAATTGAAATGTTAGTCAAAGTATAATGACTGTGAAGGAAGCCTCCACACCCAGTTATGTGACCACAAATCCATGACATTTAATGTTTCAGTCCCTTGATGTGGACCAAGTTTGTAGATTGCCTTGATTACCCCACAACGTTGGGCTGCAGTCCACATATTGTGTCCTTTAACAGTTTCTCCACCCTACTTTATGATGACATGAATGCCCAGGCCTGTGGGCATGGTCCTGGAATATTGTTGAAAGCTTTGATATTTCAAGGCTAAAAAGAAAACAATGGAAAAATGGCTTGATATTTGGTAAAAATGTTTGGGGGCTTGAATGGAACCTCAGAAATGAACATTTTTGGCAGCTTTGAAAGGAAAGTAACTGCTTTGACTGATAAGCAAAAAGCAGAATACTCAAAAGCCAAATTAAAATGGTTAGCCAAACATTAACGATGTGACAGAGTTCAAACAACAACAACAAAAGGGATGTAAGATGCTGGTGGTGAGTCACTGGTGGTGAGTGGCTTTAAAAAGAAATGCCCTGTGAATTTAATAATGTCATTGTTTTCTCTGAGGCTAATACATTTCCCAATTGTGCTCTCTAAGAGTTATGTGGTGTTCTTTTCCATTGTTTTGTAACAGGCACCATGATTCCTGTGATGGAATTCCGGCAGTTTTCTGAACAGCAGACAGCGTTCAGAGTCCTGAAGCCGTGGTGGGATGTGTTCACTGACTATCTGTCTGTAATGATGCTCATGATTGGCGTCTTTGGATGTACTCTTCAGGTCAGTAAGACTGACTCACCGTGATGTATTTACTTAAAGAAAGAGACTAATGGAAGTGTAGCTAATACACAGTAACCCACAAGTTTGGATTCAAACATTCTGTTTATGTTATAAGAGAAGTTTTTCTACGTTTTTTCATTAAATCTAACAATAATTAGACTCAGAGAAAGTCTATACACTCCCAGATGGCAACATTACTGCTTTGCTTTCTGCTTTGGAACCAGCTCAAAAAAGCACTAATTATGTGCTTTTACAACCCAGCCTCTGTAAAGCAAGGGAGGCATTCAGCCCATCAGGAGTGTACCAGTGGAAACTTTAACCGCCCAGCCACTTTTAGTAAACAGAAGACTCCTAACTCCTGTGAGGCTCTACTTGACTTCACTCTCTGTGTGAAATAGGGACTTTTTTTGAATGTTGTACAACTCTTTAGTGTAAATCCTGGAAATGATACCAAAACAGTTTAAGAAAAATGTTAACAGGAAATTTATCAGGCTAGAAGCTGCCATTGTTTCCCATTCTCACCATTACAGTGTTTGGACGTGATCTGATTGGTTGTAAATTGAGTGAACAATTCTTTTTGTAGCCAAGTTTAGTTTATAAGTCAGTTATGTAAACGTATTACGCTGCCTGACACAGAAATCCCGTCACTTGCTGTATAGTTTGAGTTTTTAAAATTCTGCAGATCAATCAGTCAGTCTTCAGAGACTTTCACTGACTTGACTTTGCATTGCTGTCTGTGATATCTGCAGCGCAACTGCATTGCTTACTATGGTGATAATGTCATTTTGTGTCCTCACTTCTCACTTAAATGGGTCGAGAATCTGAGTTTTAAACAGGTAAACAGAGTCCACATAACATCTCCTCCTATGAGCCCCATTTCCTGTCATTAGCATCTCAGAGTCAAGCAGCTGTTTTTCATTACATTACAAGTAAACACCTAAGGCATTTGTTTTTTTACTGATGCCATTTGGTGGATAGCGCTCAGTGTGTTTACATGCAATCAGGTTACGTAAAGCACCCAAGTAAAGTTAATGAGAGAATGCTTTATATGCACTGTAATAATGTGGTAACTTTTTGTGGCTTACTGAAATCCATGCACGGCTCTCTCTTAGTGAAAATGCACAAAGTAACAAGGATAACACATATGTCGACTCTTTTTCTGGAGAAGCAGTGTTTATCAATGCGAACATTCAGACCTTAACAGCCAGAAAAACATGGAAGATGCAGGGTAGCATTTTGTTATTTCACGTGATATGGGACATTCAGTTTGAGGAAAAGATCTATGATACTGAAGGCTTATCAGATCTGGAAAGCTATCACAGTGACCATTATGCTCTAAACTACTTAACTGCGTAATGTCTCCTGGGTTGAGGCAGTGCATGTTCTAATTCAACACATATTCCCTGCAAAGAAAATACTGTAATACTTGCATCAGGACAAACATATGAGGCTGTCTTAGGATCATATGTCCTTGAGTTGAGGGTTGGCACCACTATTTTATTTCTTGCATAAAATATTTTAACTTTTGAGAAATGTTTTCTTGCTCAGGCATTAAAACTACCGAGTTTAGGTTTGCATAGGTTATAAAAGATCATGGTTTAGGTTACAACAGACCCAATAGGCAGTTTGACAACTGTAGCCACCCTATGATTAATCCTCCATTTCCGGGGTTACCAGTTTTGGCCCTATGGCTGGTTTGCTGAAACCTGCAAGGATATAAATGTCAAAATGTGCTGATTATAAATGTTCTTGTAAATTACGTTCGGGAAAGCAAATTACCCTTGAAACGTAACTGAGAAACAATTTAGCACTTTAAGCCACAAAGGCTTGTTGCTCATTGATTGTACCTGACGGTTGATTGCTAGGGGACATTCTAGTGTTCTAATGGTATTTATCACACGTCAATCAGCAGTGTCCTTTGCTTTCATTGGTAGTTCCTTCAAAGGCTCACCTTTAAGTTAACAAAAGCTTAACTGTGGACCCTTTATTGCATGAAATCTGAAAAACACTCATTTTTGTGTCTGATTGAGCCTTATTATGCATTTCGTCTTTCTAATATATATATATATATTTTTTTTTTTATTTCATTTTAGGTAATGCACGATAAAATTATATGCCTTCCTCAGAGAATATCATTGCCTTCAGACAACAGCAGTGAAGTAGGATTGAAGTCACCATTACATCTGCAGTCCAACACCTCAACTGTACCAACAGGCCTGAAGACCAATCTAGATCTTCAACAGTACAGTTTCGTCAACCAAATGTGCTATGAGAATGCCTTGCATTGGTATGCCAAATACTTTCCCTATTTGGTGCTCATGCACACTTTAGTTTTCATGGTGTGTAGCAACTTCTGGTTCAAATTCCCTGGCTCAAGCTCTAAAATAGAGCATTTTATCTCTATGCTTGGCAAGTGCTTCGACTCTCCCTGGACCACACGAGCTTTGTCGGAAGTGTCTGGAGAAAATCCAGAAGAACAGGATCATAAAACGGGCACCGCTTCTAGGTCTAACATTCCTATGTCTCCGGGGGAAGGCAGCCTCGAGAAGACGCAGTCCCTCCGTTCTATTGCCGAAAAGATTGTTGTTGACCAGCCATCAGCAAGTGTTCTTGATAAAAAGGAGGGTGAACAAGCTAAAGCTCTGTTCGAAAAGGTGAAGAAGTTCCGTTTGCATGTTGAGGAAGGAGATATCCTTTACCTCATGTATGTTTGCCAGACTGTATTCAAGGTGTTTAAATTCCTTGTGATCATTGCTTATAACAGCGCTCTAGTAAATAACGTAAATAACACAGTGCGTTGCAACGGTATCGAGGCAATCCAGAACATGACAGGCTACAAAGTCTTTGAATGTAATCACACCATGGCTCATCTCTTTTCTAAGTTGTCTTGCTGTTACCTGTTCTTGGTGTCTGTCTATGGATTAACAAGCCTCTACACCTCCTACTGGCTGTTTTACCGCTCACTGAAAGAATACTCATTCGAGTATGTGCGACAGGAAACGGGCATCAGTGACATCCCAGATGTCAAGAATGACTTTGCTTTCATGCTTCACATGATTGATCAGTATGACCCACTGTATTCCAAACGATTTGCAGTTTTTCTCTCCGAAGTCAGTGAGAACAAACTGAAACAGCTCAGTCTTAACCATGAGTGGACTGCAGAGAAACTGCGTCAGAGACTCCAGACCAACTCCAACAACAAACTTGAACTACAGCTGTTCATGTTCTCTGGTTTACCCGACACTGTCTTTGAACTGACAGAGCTGCAATCACTCAAGCTGGAACTAATCAACAATGTCACCATCCCTGCCTCAATCTCACAGCTGCAAGATCTTCAGGAGCTGTCTCTTCACCAGTGCTCTTTAAAGTTGCACACAACTGCTACTTCCTTCCTCAAAGAGAACCTGAAAGTGCTTCGTGTGAAGTTCGACGATAACAGAGAACTTCCAAACTGGATGTATGGCCTGCGAAATTTAGAGGAGCTCTATCTTATTGGGTCCCTCAGCTCTGATGCCTCCAAGAATATAATTCTTGAGTCTCTGCGGGAAATGAAGTGTCTCAAAATACTCTCCCTTAAGAGCAGCTTAACCAAAATACCCCAGTCGATTGTGGATGTTTCCAGCCATCTGCAGCAATTCTATTTGCACAACGATGGCACTAAGCTAGTAATGCTCAACAACCTGAAAAAGATGACAAATCTAATAGAGCTGGAGCTAGTGCGCTGTGATCTGGAGCGCATTCCGCATGCAGTCTTTAGCCTAACAAGTCTGCAAAAGCTTGACCTGAAAGAGAATAACCTTCGTTCGATAGAGGAAATTGTCAGCTTCCAGCATCTGCGGAAGCTCACTTGCCTCAAACTCTGGTACAACAGCATCATGTACATCCCAGAGCATATCAAAAAACTCGGCAGCTTAGAGCACCTCTACTTCAGCCACAACAAGATTGAGATATTGCCCTCACACCTGTTCTTGTGCAACAAGCTGCGCTACCTGGACCTATCCAACAATGACATCCGTTTCATTCCTCCAGAAATCGGAGTTCTTCAGAGCCTGCAGTACCTTTCTGTCTCTTGTAACAAAATTGAAAATCTACCAGATGAACTGTTCTTTTGCAAAAAGCTGAAAACGCTAAAGCTTGGCAAGAACTCGCTGTCCAAACTCTCGCCAAAAATATCCTATCTAGCTCTTCTGACCTACCTGGGGCTCAAAGGCAACCACTTTGAGTTCCTGCCACAGGAGCTTGCTTTCTGTCGCGCTTTGAAGCGCAGTGGCCTTATAGTTGAGGAGACACTGTTTGAAACTCTGCCTTCAGATGTCAGGGATCAAATGAAGGCTGAGTGAGATGCCTTACTGTAGCCGTAGTGCCTGCTGTTTGTTCTGTCTATCAATTCAGAGCATTTGTTTAATATGAAGTCATTGTTATATTTAAGCATTATAAACATGCTAGAGATATCTTTTTGTTCTTTTGTTTTATTAACTGAAGGAAAATGACATATTCATCTATCGTCACATTGAGTGTGGCTGCTGCAGGGACACTTTATACGGCTACTACTCAATCTTAAAGAGAGAGTTCCGCGTTATGAGAAAGTGTTCCTTTTCTTTCTAAAAGTTTTAAGAAAAGTTTTATTTTAGTCTCACATCTGTCTATTAATCAGTAGTCACTGATATAGCCAGGTCAGCTCTTTCTCCCTGAAATCTCTGATAAAAATAACTCTCTGCTGCCTCTAGCTTTATATGCATAAAGTGATATTGATTTTTCTCTTTTATCTGTGGAGAGGGAAGAAGCTTATTTCCCATATTGTTAAAGCCTTTCTGCAAAGCCTATTTCCAGTCACTGCGTCATGACTGAATGTAAATCTTCACATTCATGACCACACATTTATGTGTAAGCCAGTAGCCTTAGGCTGTACTGTATATATTTAGATCTAAGAGACTGTTACTTCACATGGATCACAGGAAAATAGGAAAGTACTTATAAAATATACATAGAATCTAGAAACTTAGAATGAAACTAGAATTAAACAGTTCTCTATTGTAGGAAGCTGTCATTTTAAAGTGCATTAAAAGCCTGAAGGATGATGTCACACTGGTCTTTGTCTTTGTCTCTAAGTGTGAGCAAAAAATATGCAGCGTAAGAAATATGCATTTTCATGAACAGTATTTTTATGTCATTGACCAATAAAATTTGAGTTTTTAAAAAAATGTCATTTGGAATTTCTAAATGTCAGAATATTGCAAATAAAATGCAAAACAATTTTGATTCTATTGGTTTACTGACCAGTGATGCAAAATCTAAAGCGACTAAAAGAGGAAACAGCACAAAGGACAATGTCCTGTATTCAACTGTGTTGTTGGATGAAACATCACCTGCTGGCTGTTGAGGATTAATAACTGTAAAGAAGATTATTATTGAAAGTGCACAGGGCCTCGGATAAAAAAAATATGTAGTTGGTATGAAGTGTCTACAAAATAATTTCGATGGTTATCTGGGAAAAACATTCAAGCTCAATAAGATTTTTTATTTTTTAAAGTAATGTTATTTGATTCAGCAACTATGAAAATGCTTTGCATCTACAAAAAAGGAAAATGAAAGAAATCTTCTCTCACAGTTATCACTTGGCATTTAGTAATTACAAGCTCGTGAAATCTTTTACCCATAAATTGTAAGCTGTAATTACAAGATGTGGTCACATGTTTCTTTCCTTTTGGTGAATACAATGTGCCTTTGTAAACAAAGGGGGCTCGGTTGCAGCTGTCAGTAAAGATTTTTTTATTAATTAAAAGATGTAATAAAAAAGGGCTCGCATGTTCCCGTTTGAAAGTGAAGGCTGACAATTGAGTGTTCCCTTGCACTTTTCTGGTAAACCAGTTTTAAATGTGGCGTTTGCACTTTTGCCACGGTCCCTAACTTCAGTGGGTCATCCTGCACTTTGCTGTCAACTGAAACAAGGGCTTCAAAACGCTCTGTGCCGTCATATCAGATCCTGATGTGGAACAGAAAACATGCGCAATATTAGGGAAGATTTCACCTGCGCATAAAAAATGCACAGTTCCGCGGACCTGGTGCAAAGTCCTGAGGTGGTCCGGCCCCGGTGAACGAGCATATCAAACAAACGGTGTTCACCTCCAGCAGCTGGTGCTGCCGTGCCGGGCTGTTTCGCCCAGTCAGAGGCAGAGGACCCGACCATCTGAAGCCGAGTAGGGGTAGTCAGATAAGCTGCTTACAGCTCTGCCGGCAGGCCCACGGTTGAACTCGTGCGAAGAATGGACGGATTCATCTCATCAGGGAAACATGGCAAGTGAGAAGAGGCGTTGTTCGGTACTGCTGGCATCCGCAAAACCGGATCAGACTCCCTGAAGGTGAGTATGTGGCTGTTTTGAGTGTAAATCATCTAAGGTCTTTAAATGTAGCCGCAGTGCGTTGGCTCAATAACGTTAGCAGGCTGTATGGCGTAATGAAATTTAGTGGAGCTGGACAGAGAATTAAACCTGCACGGAGTGTACTGTTTTAATGTGAAGGTGATTTTCTGCAGCCGAAGATTTTTTTGTGCTGCGTTTAAAGGCGTCACGTACATCCCCCACCCCTTGTTTTGAGTGCATGGATGCGTCTTGCTGCTGGAGCCGGTCTCAGCCTGCTCTGCAGCCCCATGGAAAACAGTGACCTTCATGCTTTACACGCAACAGATTTATTCGCAGGGGTAAACGATTACATTTAGTTTTTTTTCTTTCTTTAAATAGCAACACCGAAGCAGCTGTTTGTGTACCACGTGTTTTCAGTGCTCAAACAGTATTCAGCATGTTGAGCCTCTCTAGAGCCACTATGACAGTGTCACGGAGTAAAGTGCAGAGAAAATCAGGCACAGAAAAGAGACGCAATAAATGCTTAGGATTTACAGCTGCTCTGCAGACAGCACCGTTTGTTTTGCACACTGACATCTCATATCATGTGCCGGCTCCTCTCTAAAGCTACAATCCCAAGAGGCTGTCTTCTCTGAGTCTGTTCCTGTTCTCATGTTCCTGAGAAATGTAGCTGTAGCTGAAATTTGAGACAGGGATACTAGCTGTGCATTTTTTCACTAAACCCCTAATGGATCCAGCTTTACGAGAATAAATGTGATTGCAGTGGAGTCAATTTCATGTAAGTGAACAAAAGACAGGATTAACGGTTAGAAGGTTGCACTTGGACCAGTTAAATTGCAATTGTCCATTACAGCGTGACATCTACAACATGTCACCTCCCCAATTTCTTTAATTTTTTAAGTCAGGGAACGCTTTTACAGAGTACCATTGGGATGAGGATATCTGTAAACAGCTTACAAGGTAGATCTAAGACTCCTTCATGTGTGGGTTTATTATGGACCGAGACATTATGTGAAAACAATTCAGTACAAAAACATCAACTGTTATATAATCCTATGCACATTTTCTTACTAAAGTTGTTTTCTGTTGCAGGAATGTTCACGCTCACAGAAGTAGCCTCCCTGAATGACATCCAGCCAACTTACAGAATACTGAAGCCATGGTGGGATGTCTTCATGGATTATCTTGGTATTGTCATGTTGATGTTGGCCATATTTTCTGGAACGATGCAGTTAACTAAGGACCAAGTGGTTTGTCTTCCCATTCTGGAGCAAACTCCAGAGGGGTCCGGGGGTTTCTTGGAACCTGAAGCACCAGAGCCAACCAATGGCTTTTGGAACAAAGAGAGTGCCATTGGGGAGCAAGCTGCTCCTCTCATGGCTAAAAGGCCTCCCGATAGCGTCACGCCTACCATTCACTTCACACAGCCAGCTACCATCGGACAGCCCTATCCTACAGGCGTCAGGACCAAGCTGGATTTTCAGCAGTATGTTTTTGTCAACCAGATGTGCTACCATGTCGCCCTACCTTGGTATTCAAAATATTTCCCATACCTTGCCCTAATTCACACTATTGTGTTGATGGTCAGTAGCAACTTCTGGTTCAAATACCCCAAAACAAGCTCAAAAATAGAACATTTTGTTTCCATACTGGGAAAGTGTTTTGAATCACCTTGGACTACCAAAGCTCTGTCTGAGACTGCGTGCGAGGATTCGTCAGAGAACAAGCAGAGGCTGGCCGGGGCCTCCTCTCTCCTGAAACATTTGTCCACAAGTAGCGAGGAGGGGAGTCCGAACCAGTCCGCTCCGGTGCTGACTAAATCTGGGGTTACCTTTTCTGCTGAAAAGCTTGTGAGTGAAATTCCCTCCATGACTATACTGGACAAGAAAGATGGCGAGCAAGCGAAGGCCCTGTTTGAGAAAGTTCGGAAATTCCGTGCTCATGTGGAAGACAGTGATTTGATTTATAGACTCTATGCCATACAGACAGTTATCAAAACTGTGAAATTTATTCTGATCCTGTGCTACACAATGACGTTTGTTGCTTATATAGATTTTGACCATGTGTGTGAGCCTGAAATAAAGCATTTGACTGGATATACCAAGTTCCATTGTACACATAACATGGCATTTATGTTAAACAAGCTCCTTGTTAGTTATATTGCTCTCATATGCGTTTATGGCGTGATCTGCATATACACACTGTTCTGGCTTTTTCGGCGACCACTCAAAGAGTATTCCTTTGAAAAGGTCAGAGAGGAGAGCAGCTTCAGTGACATTCCTGACGTTAAAAATGACTTTGCTTTCCTCCTCCACATGGTTGATCAATACGACCAGCTGTATTCAAAGCGTTTTGGGGTTTTTCTCTCTGAGGTGAGTGAGAATAAACTTCGCGAAATCAGCCTGAACCATGAATGGACCTTTGACAAGTTACGCCAGCATGTAACGCGCAATCCTCAAGATAAGTTGGAACTTCATCTTTTCATGCTATCTGGAGTTCCGGATGCTGTGTTTGATCTCACTGACTTGGAAATTCTGAAACTAGAATTAATCCCAGAAGCCAAAATAACAGCGAAGATCTCACAAATGATAAACCTCCAGGACCTGCACTTCTACCACTGTCCTGCCAAAGTTGAGCAGACAGCTTTCATTTTCCTTCGTGATCACCTCCGATGCCTTCATGTCAAATTCACAGATGTTGCAGAGATTCCTAGCTGGGTATACATGTTGAAAAATTTAAGGGAACTCTATTTGGTGGGTAACCTGAACTCTGAAAACAACAAACTGATTGGACTTGAGTCTCTGCGAGATCTCAGGCACCTAAAGATTCTGCACCTCAAAAGCAACCTCACAAAGATCCCTACAAACATAACAGATCTGTCACCACATCTGTTAAAGTTGGTTATTCATAATGATGGTACAAAGCTCTTAGTGCTGAACAGTTTGAAGAAAATGATGAACCTTGCAGAACTGGAACTGCATAACTGTGAACTGGAACGAATCCCTCACGCCATCTTCAGTTTGAACAACCTTCAGGAACTTGATCTCAAATCCAACAACATTCGCACCATTGAAGAGGTCATCAGCTTTCAGCACCTGAAAAGACTAACGTGTCTCAAACTTTGGCACAATAAGATCATTACTATTCCACTATCAATCAGCCATGTTAAAAACCTGGAGTCACTCTATCTCTCACACAACAAGCTGGAATCTCTGCCTTCACCGTTATTCACACTTCTCAAGTTGCGGCACCTCGATGTTAGCCATAATTCTATAGTGGTAATCCCACCAGAGGTGGGCTTTCTCCAAAACCTCCTATACTTTGCCATTACCGGTAACAAAGTCGAGGCACTTCCCAAGCAACTGTTCAAATGCACCAAACTAAGGACTTTATGCTTTGGCCACAACTGTATCTCCTCTATTCCAGAGAAAATTGGCCAACTTTCTCAGCTCACACATCTGGAATTGAAGGGAAACTGTCTGGATCGTCTCCCAGCTCAGCTCGGTCAGTGTTCCCTCCTTCGCAGGAGCTGCCTGATTGTGGAGGATCATCTCTTTGACTCACTTCCAATTGAAGTAAAAGAGAGCATCAATCAGGAAACCAGTGTTTCTTTTGCTAATGGATGTAAATGTTTAAGTGATGGACGGTAGTTACATCCTATATGACATCAAATGTCGGCCATTTTCTCTCAAGTCTTTGTTTTTTAAGTGCATTATTGCTAGAAAACAGCTAGTGCACATGTTGGGCTTTTAGGGTTATACACAGTAAACATAGCAAATACAGGGTTGGTACCACTGGAAATGCCATGGCTTGTGTCTTGTCTTGATTTTTTTCCCTTTTCC